GGGAGTTTGAGGTGTGGAATGGACTGAAGTCCAATCAGCTTCCATATGCAAAAGACCAGGTTGTCGCAGCAGTTGTGGTGTGGGTGGGACCCGGGCTTTGCCTTCTGATTGGTGGCGATATATGCTGAGGAGCAGTGCCATCAGCCATACACTAAGGGAGTGCATTTTAGAATTAGAACTTTGGCACCCACTATTCAATTATATATAAGGAGAGATGCTTTCAGCTTGTATCCCGCTCGAACCCCCCAAGGGGTCTCTCATACCAAGGGGTATGGCTGTGGTCTTGGCATTGTAGTACCTGACGTTTCGCCAGCAGCTGTGACTGGCATCCTAAGAGGTAGAACACAGAAAGATGGAGGACTCTCTGTGTCAATGTGAATTTTATTGTATGTTTGTGAATTAAGTTCTGGTCATAGACTATGAATAAAACCTTACCTGGGCTGCGGTCACACGCAACATTAGCCACGCAAGAGATACGGAAGACAAGCGGAGTTTCCGGTTGGCGTCTCTTATGTTCTTATTTTGTGAACAAAATTAACTAGAGGCAACACGGTAAAGGCAATTAACACGTGGGCAGTCCCAGTTCTAAGCTACACAGCTGACATTATTGACTGGAAACAAGCAAATTATAAGCAATAGATCACCCACAAAACTTGCAAGTTAATGACAGTGCATCACTCACTACACCCTAGAAGTGATGTTTGATCCACTTTACTTTCCAAGAAAATTAGATGGAAGAGGTCTCCTGAAAGTTAAACAAGCAGTTGAAGAAGAAAAATGAGCACTGAATGACTACAACAAGAAAACCAAAGAGAAGCTTCTTGTTGAAGTATACGAGGCACACTTTTCAAAGGTTACAGCCTATTATGACAGCAACCCCTATGCCTTACCTTTCCCAACTACTAAATCAAGAGTATAGGAAAGTGTTCATGCTAATGCACTGTGATGCACTTCCCTCAGCTGTCCTTGAAGGAAAGTATAAAAAGATTCCCTATGAAGAAAGGATTTGCCCCTGTTGTAATGCAGGCATAGAATCGCTAGACAACAACTGGAAGGAAAAGCACTTGCATGGGCAATATTTGAAAGACAGAGAACAAAGTTGATAGTGAAAACACCCGGTAATGGTTCCAAAATTGGCACTTGAAGAAAGAAATGGCAGGACTCATTCTAGCTGCACAAGAGCAGACAACAAATAGTAGTAGCAATAACAAATGGAGGTAAATTGCAGAGAGATAAAAAGTAAAAATAGAAATAAGGGAAAGATAAAGGAAATAACTTGCGGAGCGTTGTTAATCAGTGCTGCAGCCTCAGCGCCATCTTGGATACCTCCTGGTGGGATTGTATCCAAAATAAATAGTATGAAAACCAAGATTCAGAAGACCAGTGATGACAGCAAATATCGACTGTGCAAGACGAAGGATGAAACGTTCGCGGGGAGGGCGGGGTATAAATACAAAAAAATAAATAAAATAAAATAAATGGTCAGTGCCTGCAGTAAAATTGCTCAAACTGACTATTAAGAATGTCAGATTAGAGTTGCAGCTATGTTGCACTGGAATCTTTGCAAGAAGTATGGCTTATTATCAGCCAAAAATTCATGGGAGCACAAACCAGACAAAATCATGGAGATGGATGAAACAAAGATTCTTTGGGACTTCCGACTACAAACCTGGTACATAACACCCCAGATATCATAAGTGTAGAAAAAATGAGAAATGGGGTTTGGATCTATTTCTATTTTGCTGTCTCCTGGCATTGCAAAGAAAGAACAGGAGAAGATCACAAAACACCAAGACCTACAAATAGAGTTACAGCACCTCTGGGAGAAGAAGGTGACCATCATGCCAGTTGGTGATGGAGACCTCTCAGTCGTCTCCTCTCCACAAACATACTCCGCTTTAATACCCCTCTCTACAGAGGGAATGCTCACTGAAAGAAGCAACCAATGGCATTCATATGTGCATTAAGTGCTCCCCTGTTACTATGCTGGTTGAATGTATAGCTCTGGCTCTGTAAATATACACTAAGAATGGGCTCAGGTGGAAAAGGTTTGTACAGGACAGTTCCCACTTAGTTTGCGCAAGCAACAGCTATAGCACTGGTTTTCCAGAAATTGCAAGCACAACAGCTAACAGGAAAGCAGAAGTGGTTGACGTTCTCCTAGCTATGTACAGGTTAAAGGGGCAGGGAGCTACCAGTGCTGGTAGCCTAGTAAAATATTCACTGGAGATTATTTACATTTACCCAAGACTTGAACACCTCAGTCAACCTATTCAGATATATAAGATTCAGATATATAAAATTCAGTGTCAACATTAAACTTTGCTATGGCAGAAAGAAACCAGTATAGACAATATAGACAAGACTGGCTTTTCTTGTCACATTTCCCTGCTATATTCCCTGCTCAAACCAATCAGCCTTCGAATGGCTGAAAATGGAAATATGCTGGCAAGTCATCATTCTGATGAAAATTTTTAATTGACTGATTCATCAAATGGATTAATTACTAATCCTCCATGTGGCAAAACACGTCACAAGAAGATAGTTGTTATTGTTCTTCCAAACTAGACAAACATTCAAAACTTTTGCACAACAAGAAATGCGGAGGTGGACAGAGCACCTCCATCAGGCAAGAAAGCCCAAGTCTTTCAACCAAAAGGCTTGTGTGGTGCACACAATTCCATTACAGCAGCCCTCAGGATGGTAAGGGGTCTTCCTTTTGCACTTCCACAAGTCTGGCCTTCTGGGTTTCGGGGTCATCCTGCATCTCCTGAAGCATGCTTTGCAGCCTCGTCAACACAGCATCCTCGGAGCTGTCTTCCTGAGGAACCTGCTGGGTTACCTGCAAGACAAAGACAGATCCATACCACAGGGTTCAAGAACGAAGCCAGGATGGGATCTTCCCATCCCTTATAATAAGTCTATTATTCTATCAAACATGGAGAGACTACAGTTGAAGTGGTAGAGCTCACACCCCAGAAGGCCCCAAATTCAATCCCTGGCACTTCCAAAAAAAGAGTCTGAGACAGAAGGTACAGGACAAGACCTTACCTACTCAAGACCTTGGAGAGCCACTGTCAGTCAGTGTAGAAGATGCTGGGTGAGATGGGCTTTGGGTAAGTCAGCTTTTTATGTTCCAAAGCCACTGCAATCTGTTTCCAGGCTTTTTGTGCTGCTTCAGGAAACTGTTAGGCAGCTGGCCAATCAGGCTAATCGGGCTCATCCAGCCCCCGGAATACCCACTGAGTCACCTATGGCCACCACTATAACCTTAGCACTATTTCTATTCTGGTATGAAGCTTGCTCACAGAGGTTCTGTTTAATAGGATGCCTTTAAGGGGAAGAAGAAGAGGAGGAGGAGGAGGAGGAGATTGGATTTATACCCCACCCTTCACTTGGAGTCTAAGAGCGGCTTACAAACTTCTTCCCCTCCATACAACGGACTCCCTGTAAGGGAGGTGGTGCTGAAAGAGCTTTGACAGAAACTGCTCTTTTTCAAGGACAGCTGTGCCAGAATTAGGGATGTGCATTCGGTTCGTCCAAATGCACACCCGAAAATGGCCCATTCAGGCCCCTTTCAGGCTGCTGCGGGCCAATTCAGATTCTCTGATCTGAATCGCCTTGCCACCGAATTGCTGCTGAATTTCGGCAGCAATTCAGCCCCCTTATATCCTATGGGCCATTGAAGTCAACGGCAAAAACATAGGGTATATTCTGGGGGCTAGAGGGGAGGGGGTTTGAGGGAGAGGCTCCAAACTCGCAGGGTAGCTGCTGGAGCATCTCCCCAAGATACCCACCAAGTTTCAAGAACATTGAACCAGGGGGTCCAATTCTATGGGCCCCCAAACAGGTTGCCCCCATCCCCTCCATTGTTTTCTATTGTGGGGGAAAAGTGGACAAATGGACAGTTCAAGCCTCTAAGAGCCTATCGTATTTGGCGGCGGGGATTTCACAATTCCACCACACACCCCAAGACTCTCACAGGCCCCCAATTTGTTGACAGTAGTAACCAACCCACTGAGAAACTAATCCTACCTGGCTTAATTCTGGCCTAAAACGTTAAAGATGAAAAAAGGAGCCCGAGGAGAGGGGGGGGGGGGGGGGGGGGTTCCACAAAGGCACTAACCAAAATCGCAAAAGCTTCTTGGAGCAGAAAGACATCAAGAGAATAATTTAAAAAACAAACTCCTAAGAAAGCTGGGGGCCGTTTCAAACACACCTAGGACGAGGGGAGGCCGAGTACAAGGTGGCACCCAGCAAATTTAGAGGGTGGGCTTGCTGGGAGGAGGTGACAGTAAAGGCTGTGTGCTCATTTCCATTTTCTCTTGCAACGACAGCCCCTTAACTGGCTTCAGCAGTGTGGAAAGACAGGGGGAAGATGGGATGCGCTCTTTGTGAGGTCAAGCCATTGTGTAAAAACCAACAGCAGGCTCTAGACCACGGAGGCACCCAGAAGTCACCACCAGTACCAGACCTGTGGAGCGACCCAAGACACAAAGCACAGGCCTCTGCCCATCTGAACAGGCAGCCTGGACTTGGGAAAGCACGACCTGAGTTCAGAGCAACCCCTGAGTATCCACGACACGCCTCGGCCACAGTTGTCAGAACCTCTCAAGACTCAAAAAAAAGGGCAGGACATAAGAGGTTACTAGCGAAGCTGGCAAGACCAGGCCTTAAATGTGCCCTGAGCGGTCCTCTGCCGCAGATGCCAACTCTGGAGTTCTGACTGGCCCTGCTTGGAACACTCTTGCTCCCTCTCTGCAGCAGCCTAGAAACAGGGAGAAATCCTTCCTTGTCCTGTTAGTCTTCAAGAAATCCGCCCACAAAAATCAATCCCCCTCCCCAACTATCTGCTGTTACGTCCGTGTTATTTTGTTGAAAATTTGGATTTTTGTCACCATTGTATACTTTGATGAAGTTTACTTAAACGGCCACAGGATTCTAATAAGATGCTGTCTGTGACTTGGAAAAGACTTCTGTGGTGCTTAGGTGTAGTAAATACATTTCACATGAACAAAAGCAAAACGTATTGTTTAACAACTGATTAGTTGAAAGCCATGGGGTGTTCTAAACAACCCCTTGATCCTGGAGTTCCTCGTAGCTCAGAATGTCATGTTGCATCGGGACCATTTCAGTAATTGAGGGGAAAGTTTACTGTGCAACATAATGCCCAATTACTGACCTCCTTATACTGAAAGAAGATTAATTTGGATTTCGTGCACTAAGGCAGTAGCAGCTCTGAACTGACTTCCAGCTATTAACCTTTCACTTTCAGATCACACAATCACTCACCACACAAAGCAGCTCGCTCCCATACTTACACGGCCCGTCGTTTTTCTTCGCAAGATAATGCCCTCTGCCAAGAGAGCTTTCCCGGTTTCTTCGAACAGTCTGTCTTCATCCACCTCTCCCTGCTTCTGCAGTTCAGTGTACTTCTCAACAAACCTGGAATCCAACATGCGTGAGATCAGCCAAACAGTTATCAAGCAGAGGGGGAAAAATTTCCATTCCATTTGCTCAGAGGAATATCTTCAGGTCAATGCTTGGCCACTTACCTTTGACAGGTGGATTTAAAGTTTAATTTGGACAGGTCAAAGGCCTTTGGACCACTTCCATAAGCTTCATAAAATTTCCTGTGCAATAAGATAAATACATTTCAGACTGGGATGACTCTGTGTGAAGACTGACGTTACCGTCAACAAGGATTCAAAGACACAGAGAGGGGGTTAGAGCAGTTTCTTTCCTGTGTCTTATGGTGTGGCTGGAGGGGGTGTGATGCAGCAGCCTTGCTGGAGCTCAACTAGGTCTCCACAAGGCCTCCATGAGTCCCTAGGAACTCCAGCCTGCAGGCATGATAGGAGAAACACGGGATACTACTGTAAAAACAAAAAGCAGAATCTGCAACAGCGTCCAGACAATTCTCAAAAACGTACGTCTATACTGCCCTGACCTGGATAGCCCAGGCAAGCATGATCCCATCAGATCTCGGAAGCGAAGCAGGGCTGACTCTGGCAAGTACTTGGAAGGGCGACCTCCACGGAACACCAGGGGCAGGACGCAGAGGCAAGCTAATCAGGCCACCTCTCTGAAAAAAACGTCCAAGCCCCCAGTAGGGGTCACCTGAAGTCACCATGACTTCCAGGCAAGCAGACAAAACACACACACACACGGAAAAAAATCTTAGTCTAGCTCTACAGAAAATCAAAGCTAAATGGGTCCATCATGTCTGGCAGATGACCTATTTACACACACTCCTCTGGCAATCCTGCCATCATCTCCAAAAACAACCAACAATGCTTCCAGGGGTTATGGCAAGGAAGGTGCAATAGCACACCTAGAAGAGCGCATGTTTAGCTGCACATCCCATGTTTACAGCCAAGCATCTTCAGTTCAAAGGATCCCAGGCAGCAGGTCTGAGGAAAGGCCTTTCTCTGCTTGAGACCTTGGAGGGCAGCAGCCAGCCAGAGTGGACAATGGAGCAACAGTCTGATGCAGTACTGAGGACAACATGTTCATGCAGCCCCAAACCTGTGGCACAAGGACCAAGATGCTGGCTCCCTGGGTTAACGACCCAACATTATACAACAGCTTTCTCTATAGAACTCCTTGCAGACTTCAGCTTGAATATTTTATTTTAAGTGACTGGTAGAACAAGATTTCAGCTGGACTGACTTTGGCAACATGCAAGTCTCTAATATGCAAGTGCATTTTGGATTTTAGAAGACTGTTTGTAAAGGAAGTATTGTTGTCTCCTCCACGCGCTTGGGATGGACCGGGTTAAAATGCTTTTAAAATGCATTTTGATTCCTTGCAGTTATGAGCAGACGTTGCAGCAACTAAAGTGTAATCAGTACTTATACACAAATATTTGGAATAAATCTTTATCAAGATTTCTGTTTATGCTACATATTTGCCCAAGAGCTCACATCTGAGAAGTTGTCCAATGTTTTGTAAGCTTAGAAGATGGATTCCCTGGCTACTTCAAGAAGCACAAGCAATACTAACCTACAGGCAGTCTGTTGGCCAAGGAATCAACAACTTGCTTGACACTGAACCAAAAACACAAGAGCTGCGTGCCACCCCTTCAAAATTCATGCCTTTAAATGCACTCCTTACAGCCTTCTTGCTTGACCTTCCTTGTCAAATACAGCATTACATGTGCCCTTAAAAGCCACCTGTTAATCTCATCTGCCCTAGTTTTGTACAAGCCTCAGGAATGATCTGTAAGTCCTGAAGTTCTACTGCAAAAAGATAGAGAAGTGCCCCCCCGCGACTTACGCTCGGATCTCATCTTCCTTGTAGAAGATGGCAGGGACGGTTTCCCGCACTTTACCATAGAGTGGGCGAAGCTCCCGGTAGACAGGCTCCCTCAGTGGGGGGAAAGCAGCATAGACATCAAACCAGAGGGGTTTTCTGGATTCGGGAATCACTCCAGAGCGCATCAAGTCCCGTGTCCTGAGGAAAAAGATGCAGATATGCAAATGTCCAATCGGTAAAGAACTGGGTCGGGAAAAGTCACTGCAAAAGGAGAAATCACATCCCAAACACCAATATCAGCTCCCCCTGCCCCAAACCTGGACTAATCATTTGCTAGGAAACATTTCTCTTGTAAAGCAGCAGTTTCACTCTCCCTGCTAAAGATAATTTCTATCTGCACTAGCTACAGGAAGCAGAGTATTCATTTTTCCTCCACTCTTGCAGTGTTTCAGAGAAAGGCCCCTTTTAATCTCCTTATATGAAAAATGTTTTGAGCAAACACACAAAATATTTATTTCTCATTTTGGCTTCTTGCTCTTTTTCTCTTTCTGCTCCCCCCGATATACCACCTTGATTTTCGAAAGCAGTTGCCACCACTTGGCCGCATCACAGCCCCTCTGTTTCTGTTGCTCAGACAATTCATTCCACTTTGCTCACTCTGGGATGGAACTGTCATGAAACCATGATCTGAAACCATAAGCTCAAGCAACCTGGACCACCTGTAACCTGTATTAATGTACACTAATGCCAACGGCTGAAGCAACCCACAGATATTTACTTGGAATTAAGTCCACTAGAATCAACTCCCAAGTGAGCATGCATAATATTGAAACCTTCGACTTCGGAGTTCCCACTATGACATGGGCCCTTAACCTTTTTCAGCCTGTGAGCACCTTTGGAATTCTGACACAAGATAGTGGGCATCACCACAAAATGGCTGCTACGGGAGGCAGCGCAAACAATAAAATGTCAGGGAGTGAAGTATAATTCTGTAGGTTTTCAGCATTTCCGACAGAAACTCTGTTTAACAGAATGCCTTTTAAAATATTGTTTAAAAACGTTTTCTGGTATACATGCAAAATACATATACACATCGAGACAGCTAAGAAATCCTATCTGGCAGTTACCAGTCTTCATTTTGCAGGCATGTAATTCCTGTATGCAAAAGGAAAGGGGGGGGGATGCTTCTTCTCCTGTCTGTCCCTTTACACAAGCCCTTCTCTCTTGAGCCCAGCTATTTTTAACCTGCAGTATTGCTTGTAACCATGACAGATGGGGCTGAAGAGCTGGTGAGAGCTCCTTGCACACGTATTCAGGAAGAGGAAGAGATTCTGGCCAGCTTTTGACAGAAAGACAAATTATTATTAAAAAGTTAACAGAATTTGATGTAGCAAGGTTACTGTCAACTTCAGAGCCAGTGTGATGTAGTAGTGGCCACAGTGTCGGACTAGGATCGGGGAAATCCAGGTTCAAGTCCCCATTCGTGCCACAGAAGCTTGCTGGATGACCCTGGGCCAGTCACAGACTCTCAGCCCATAAGAACATAAGAGGAGCCAATGTTGGATCAGGCCAGTGACCCATCCAGTCCAACACTCTGTGTCACACAGTGGCCAAAAATACCAGGTGCCATCAGGAGGTCCACCAGCAGGGCCAGAAGTCCAGAAGCCCTCCCACTGTGGCCCCCCAAGCACCAAGAATACTGTGGCCCCAGACGAGTGTTCCATCTACTCCTTGTGGCTAATAGCCACTGATGGACCACTTGTTTACCCAAGCGCCTCTTGTAGCTGCCACCACTTCCTGTGGCAGTGAATTCTATTTATTTATTTATTTTGACTTCTATCCAACCCTCCCCACCGCAGCAGGCTCTACATGTTAATTACTCTTTGGGAGAAGTGCTTCCTCTTATCTCTACTAAGCCTACGGCTCATTAATTTTGTTGAGTGTTCATGAGATCTTCTATTGTGAGAATGGGAGAAAAGTACTTCTTTCTCCACCTTCTCTATCCCATGCATAATTTTGTAAACCCCCTCAGTCGTCATTTCTCCAAACTAAAGAGCCCTAACCTCTTTAACCTTTCTTCACAGGGAAAGGGTTCCATCCCTTTAATCATTTTAATTGCCCTTTTCTGCACCGGGTTCCATCCCCTTAATCATTTTAATTGCCCTTTTCTGCACCGTTCCCAATGCTATAACATTTTTTCTGAGGTGTAGTGATCAGATGGGACTAATTTCAGTCCCGTCGATCCTCACATGGCTGTTATGATGATAAAATGGAAGAGAGAAGAACGATGTAAGGCATTTGGGTTCCCACTGGGGAGAAAGGCAAGGGGTAAAGAAAGTAAATAAATAAAATTATTAGACTACATTATAACTGGGAAGACCTGATCCTCCAAGAGAAATCCCAGTTCGAGGCATTAGCTTTTTAGCTGTGCAGACCAATTGTCTTTCATACGAATCAAGTCCCACTGTGTTCTTAGAATGCCACTCTGCTATTTGCACAGGTAAACTCCCAAGTTTAAGTCCAGCGGCACCTTTATGTCCAACAAAATTTAATTCTGGGTATAAGCTCCATGTACATGAAAGCTTAAACCCAGAAAAAAAACTTTGTTGGTCTTAAAGATGCCACTGGACCCAAACTTTCTTCGGTTACTTCGGACCAATATGGCTACCCTCCAAAATTTATTCCAGCATACCCTTTTGTGAATCAGAGTTCACATATGATACAACTTACTATTACTGTGCATAGATTCAGGTGGTCAGCCATGTTGGCCTGAAGCAGTAGAACAAATTTAGAGTCCCGTGGGGGCACCTTTAAGACCAACAAAGGCTTATTCAAGGTAGGAGCTTCCATGTGCAAGGCTTTCGTGTATCAAATACTTTGGAATGGCAGATGAGGTTCCAAACATATAGACAGAAATTTAACAGCAAATTAACATGTAACATGGTGATGTTTATGCAAAGTGAACAACTAAACAACAAAGTTAAGGTTATGAGGCTGTAAAGCAATACATTTGTCAAAATAGTGCATAAATGTCTAAAGGTGTTTTTTCTAATTGTGGGAAGTAACAGAATCTTAATTAGCTCCTTTGAGGCATAGAGGGTGAGTGGAGGGCACTTTACTGTGCATGTGCATACACCCACCCCCGCAGAAGCCCCCACACATACAAATACACATCACAACAAATTGCAGAACGTGGGCATATACGTCGACACACAGATATATGCGATAGACACAGAGTAAAATATTTAATATACACACTAAATAGACGCATTTTTCAGCTTCAGATCACTGAGCAAATCCCCTTATTCTGCAGCAGTGCACACACACACACCCCATACTGGCGGCCCTTCTCTACATACCCCAAAGCTGCCCTCACCCTTTTAAAGGATGCCAGCCTCCAGGTGGGGCCTGGGGATCTTCTGGGACTACAGCTCCTCTCCAGGCTACAGAGATCAGTCCCCCTGGAGAAAAGAGATGCTCTGGAGGGTCGACTCTGTTTGCATTGTCCCCCACTGAGGTCCCTGTCCTCCCCAGGCTCCACCCCCAAATCTCCAGGAGTTTCCCAACCTGGAGCTGGCAACCTTGCCTCCCCCACCCACCCCACCAGTCCCCGGGGGGGGGGGGACCAGGCAACCCTCGCCCTTGTACATGCACCACCTCGCTTGCATCGAGGTCACAGCCCAAAGCCCCGCCAGGCGCCCCCCGCCTTCCCGCCCGGTCTCACCGAGTGAACACAGTCCCCCATTTCTCCAGCCTACTACCAGCCATGGCCGCGCCTCTGCCTGAGCTAGGCCTTTCTTAGCAACCGGGCTCCGGCCCTTAGCAACGAGCAGCACCCGGAAGTGAGAAATCGCGCGAGACTGAAGGCAGGGCGGGGAATGTCAAAGAGTTACAGTCCGTATTGATGCCCTCGAACAACTTTCGGTTCTGTGTTGCAGGTGCTCCGTTGTGCTGGGCTAAAGTATCGGAAACGCATAGGAATGAATGAATGGTTCATTTTTAACTCATTAAAAAAACATTCTAAATAGTAGGTATGGTTAGATGCTCCTTTTGGCTGCAATATTTTGATATAATGGTTGCCTCAGTGTACTTAGTTAAAAGCATGCTATTGACTTAAAATCTTCGTTTGTTTCCCCTTCCTTTCTGCCCTGCGTTTCTCTGCAATGGGGACCCATCGCCGCTGACATCCCTCCCCTCCATTTTATTCTCACAACAACCCTGTGAGGCAGGTTAGCTGATAGTGTGTGACTGGCCCTCAAGCTTTCATGGCAGAGAGAGATTTGAACCTGGGTCTGGATTTCAAGAGTCTCACCACTACACCACACTGGCACTGGCTCTTGTCCAAAATAATATCTCCCCACTAGCTTCCTCCCCACCCACAGCAGCATCCACCTCCCCAAAAAAACCGCTTTATTACCACTAGGAACTCAGCAGACAAAGATGCTTAACCTTGCATTTCTACCCATTGTTCAGGCTTGAAAGGCACAAAAATGCAACCAGCATGCGATCAGATGCGCCGTTTGATCTGGCGTCGTCACGCTTCAGAAACAGATTTTATCTGCATGATCACACAGTCAACATCTGCCTCCCATCCCCAGCCGTTGGTTTCCGGCTCAAAACCGCTTTAACCCAGAGTATTTTGTTACCAGGTCCCAAAGTGGTGTTTTCTCAGCTCTCCCGTTTAAAGCCGCATTCCCCCCCCTGTGTGATCGCTCCCCCCATCCCCGCTCGACAGCTGCCTGAGGCTTCCGCTTTTCGCCCGCCATTTTTTAATGCGTTGGCAGTATGCGCATACCAGAGCCAGCACTGTCCGAAGATGTTACCATGATCATGTGGCCGGCATGACTAAATGCTGAGGCGCAGGGAACGCTGTTACCTTCCCACCAAAGTGGTACCTATTCATTTACTTTTGAACTGCTAGGTTGGCAGGAGCTGGGGCCAGAGCTGGGAGCTCACTCCATCATAAGAACATAAGAGATGCCAATGTTGGATCAGGCCAAAGGCCCATCCAGTCCAACACTCTGTATCACACAGTGGCCAGAAATACCAGGTGCCATCAGGAGGTCCACCAGTGGGGCCAGGACATTAGAAGCCCTCCCACTGTTGACTCCCCCCCAAGCACCAAGAAGACGGAGCATCCCTTGCCCCAGAGTCCCTATCTCTACCTTGTTGCTAATAGCCACTGATGGACCTCTGAG